AAGACAGGCATATGAGTTGAACATTTACCTGAGGTAGATACACTCCTTGGAGAGAACAATCATGGGAGAAAGAAGGGCTGCTTATACACAGGGAGACAGCCTAGGGGGCCGGAGTGCATGGAAGGATGGACACAGGGAAGACATAACTATTGGGAGGAAGTAAGAGGGGAGCTGTTGCATTGTAGTAAATTGTGGTCAATGTCATGAGACAAAGTATATGTGAACTGCTGTATGGAAAGTGAATTTGCTCTGTAAATCTTCATCCAAATCACAAATAAATAAATAATGACCCCAAAAAAAGACAATGAGGAAATAAAGAACCACCATAAGCATCAGAGTGTGAAAATGAGGTCTGTGCTTGAGGAAGATCATTTTAACTTGCACTTCAATCCAGTGGAGAAGGTAGGTAGATCAGAGGCAGGGAGACTTATCAGGAGATTTATTAAGAGTCAGGTGGGCTCAAGAGAGGGAGGGTGAGAGTGCTTGCACAACTTAGATGTACTCAATATCACTGAATTGTATGTACATGTAGAAACTGTTGAATTGGTTTACATTTTGCTGTATATATTCTCAAGAACAACAAAATAGAAGAATTTTTGGAAAAGAATTAGGTAGGGATGGCAGTGGCCTGGACTAGAGTTGTGGCAGTGGACAGACAAGACTGAGGGACACTAAGGAGATAGATTCAGTAGACTTGGGTGATTGAGTGGATGAAATGTGAGAAACGCGATAGAGACCGGGATTATTCCAAATATTAATGGAAATATAATGAGTACTGGGAACAGTTGTTTTGTTTTTTTTTGTTTGTTTGTTTAACTTTTTATTGTGATTTGGTTGAAAGTTTACAGAGCAAATTGATTTTCCGTTCAACAATTCATACATATTTTGTTTCTTGACATTGATTGCAATTCCTACAATGTAATAGTACTCTTCCCACTTCCTTCCTGTGTTTACTGTTTCCCTTAGTCCTTCTTTCCTAGCTGTTGATGCCTTCTGAGCTTTATTCCTGGGCAAATGCTGCCCTTTTGATCTTACATGGTTGATTGTTCTAAGGGGTGCATACTTTCCTGCTGTTACTGTTCTCTTACAGGCCTATTGTTTTCAGTTCTAGGCTTGAAGAGTGATTACAGGCCTTAGTCTCAGGAGTACTTGGAACATGCTGAATTTGAAGTTTTGTTAAGACTTATCCAGATAGAGATTTTCCAGTAGGTAGTTAGTTCTGTAGGTAAATGGAGAGGCCGAGGCTAGACATAAAGACTTAGGTGTCATCAGTAGTATAACCGAAGCAATGGGAAAGGACTACAATGCCCAAGGAAAGGACGGAGAGTGAGAAGGGAAGAGGGCCTAGACAAGAACTCTGAGGAAGACTATTATTTAGAAGACAAGCAGAAGAAGACAATAAAGATACAGTTTTTATCTACTAAACTCACTGCCATTGAGTCGATTAGACCCATAGCAACCTCTTGGGTTTTTGAGGCAGTATCTCTACAGAAGTAGATTGCCCAGTCTTCCTTCTGAGGAGTGGCTGGTGGGTTTGAACTGCCAACCTTCTGGTTACAACTAAAAATTAACTTTTCCCACCCATCATTTTTTCCTTTGGGGACATGGACCACTAGAAATTCCTAAATAAAGATACGTGTAATTTATCAGTAAAGGTGTTAGTAAAAATAATTTGCACTTATTGGGCCTTTCTCTATGCCACACAATTTATTTTGCATTTTATATTTAATCTCACAATAGGTATGTAAAGTGAGGGGTAAAATACACATTTTATAGTTGGAAAAACTGAGACTCAAAAGGATTAAGTTAAAAAGACACAGTAGGGAAGGGAGGCTGGCACTCGCATACTTTTTAGAACATTTTTATGTTTATCAGTGTTATACATCCACATCATTTAAAGTATTCAAATGTGCCTACAAGTTTTATTAACATAGCAGTTCCCCACCCTTCTGTCACCCATTTTCCCCTCCCCAGAGGCAGCCATTTACAACTCCTATCTTTCACCCCCACCAAACAACCAGTTGTCATCAAGTCAAGTCTGTTAACAGTGTACCACCCAGGGCCTCCCTATCTGTAAATAATATGCTTGTATTTGCTTTATGACTTTTCAGTTTGGGATATATCTATTAATTTTCTAACAGAAACCCTGCATTTATCCCACAAATACTTCTCCATCCCACTCCCCAATATAATTAGAAGATTACCTTGACTAGAACAATAAACTGTGTTTACATTATTTTGGCCATGCAATTCACAATGGAGCCATATAACAAACCGTGATTCCTTTTTCTTTATAGCACTTTGTTTGCTTTAGTGCAAATAAATGTTTGTTTTCTATTTTGCTTAGTTTTTTACATTCATGCACAAGTTTAACTCCTAACTCTCAGCTGCTAACTAGAAGGGTAGAAGTTTGAGTCCACCCAGAGGTGCCTTGGAAGAAAGGCCTGGTAGTCTACTTGCAAAATATCAACCTTGAAAATCTTGCGGAGCACAGTTCTACTCACACATATGGGGTTGCCATGAGTTGGGCTCAACTGAACAGAAACTTACGGGGGCTAGCAAGTCTAAATCTGAATGTCAGGATATAGGTTAGAACTCTACTAGTTTTGAGACCAGGTGGCAAGCTGGTCACTCCAGCTGGATATCTGTGTTACAGTCTTGAGGCAGAATTCCTTCCCTCTGGATAACCTCAGTTTTGCTCTTAAGATCCTCAACTGATTAGAGAGGCCTACCCATATTATCAAGGGTAACCTCTTTTACTTAGAGTCAATCAATTATAAATGTTAATTGATCTATAAAACACCTTCACAGCAACATCTAGACTAATGTTTGACCAAACAACTGGGCACCATAGCCCAGCCAAGTTGGCACATAAAATTAGCCTTGAGATATAGGTGCAAGGAAATCACTTTTTACTGTAGCAAAAAACAGTTGGACAAAACCCTGAAAATGGCAGCTAATGCTCAGCTCCATTCTTTAACGCATAGTGGGGAGTGGCAGGTTTGGTGGTATGCTGGAAATGACAAGGCAATCCAACAAGCATGGCCGTTAATTTGGATCAGCTGGTTTTGTCAGGCATTAATCCAGACCCAGTGTTGTAAGAGCTTCTGGTTTGGGATTTTTTGTTTTGTTTTGTTTTTGTTTTTTAAGAGAAGCATGAAACCCATATTCCTATATGAAATCATCCCATTTTTATTATTTTCAAAATACTTTATAACCAAATGAATCATGGCTGTGGGCCAAATCTAGTCCATAGCTCCCTAGTTGGGAGCTCTGCAAGAGATTTATGGTAGCTGTTGCTTTTGTAATCTTGTTTCATAACAAAAAGAAAAACAAAACTCTAATTATGATCTGATGGTTACAGTAAAGAAAAACCTAATTAACTCTTAACAGGGATGACCAGAAATGCAGGTTAAGATCAGCTTAGCATTATATTTTAATTTAAAAACAATAGACTGCAATTCTTTGTACTGCCTTGAATAGAAAGATAATTAGTAATCTTCTTACAGTCTCTCAGATGTATAAAATAATTTATAAGCAAGGCCAGTAGGTTTTTATATTTAAAATTAATCCACTATTAAGTAGTTCTGGTAGCATATTGGGTAAGGCATTTTGGCTGCTAACCAGAAGGTCAGAGGCTCAAATTCACTGGCTGCTCAGTGGGAAGAAGATAAAGCAACCTACTTCTGTAAAGATTTACAGCCTTGGAAATCCAGTGGGAGTCACTATGAGTTGGAATCAACTCAGTGGTACTGGGCTTGGTTTGAAACCCACTGTTACCCTAACCCTGAATTGTCTTCAAAGGTCAAGCTTGAAAAGAAAAAGTATAACTAACTTAAATTATCCTATTATTAAATCACTCCATTATTTTAATATTAAAGTAACTTTTATTTTGCCTTATTTAGAAAGGAAGGAATTTTGTAATAATATTGGTTAAATATGTGTATGTTATTTATCAATCTTGATAGTTACATTATTTTTCTTTCTAAGCTGTGGAAGATGTTTGGAAACAACAAACATTGTTACATATTCTTCAGCTGATTCACATTCCCTTCCTGGAAAATATTTTGGAACCACCAGTTAAATGACAACATCTTCATTTAAGTAAAGAAGAAGACCTTGTTATCTCAAACACTTGCCTAGATAGAGAAGTTATTCCAAACTTAAATCTACCTGAGTAAGTGACCATTTTTATTATCAAATAATTTGTAACTAAAAAGTTTTCACATATTTAGCCCTTGGTATTTTAAGGTGTGAGACTAGAGAGAGAGAGACCATTTATATACAGATACCATTTTCATTTGACCCAACACGGAAAATCATTGCTTATGACCTGAGAAATCACTGGAAATCATAGTGGTTTCATTCATATGAATTCATTTATTTGTCAAGAGTCCTTTCCTTGCACTAGCCCTGAATGTTCCCAGATTCTATCATTCCCATTTTATGATCCTAAAATACTATAAACAACACAATTTCTACTAGATTATTTATCCCTATCCTGAAAGAATCTATAGTCTAGTAAAGGAGAGACACATGTAATCAAAAAAGTAAATTCAATGAAATAAACCTTTGTTTTGGTTGCTTTGTGCCATTCTAACAGAAGATACCACAAATGGTTATATAGCTTTAACAAATAGGAGTTTATTCCCTTACTGTTTAGGAGGCTAGAAATCCAAGTTCAAAGTGCCAACTCTAGGGGCTGGGTGAAAGCCCCTTGACCTTGAACTTCTTGCTCCCAGCCCACTGAAACTAGAGGCTTTTCTTAACTCAGGCAGCTGCTGGCTGCTGAGGCTGGCAAATCTAAGGTCGACAAGTAAAGAAGCACAGTCCCAAGATTATCAAAAAACATGGCAGGCAACTAGTTCAAGTCCAGAAAAAGTCCCAACATTGGCAGAGCATGACAGGCTACTGAATGAAGACTTGGCTATCTGCAGGGTCCAAGTGTGCCAAAAAACTGCTGACTACTCCCAAAGCTGCTGCTTATTTACAGGAAGCAGACCACATCCCTAAGGCAGCTACTCTACTGCTCACAGTAGATTCCACCATGGAGTTGATTACCAATCTTACGTGGGGAATAACTACATCCAGCTGTCCAGCCACTCAAAACCAGGCCCAGCCAGGTTGACACATAACCTTAACTACCACAGCCCTATCTTAGAATCAATCTCATTTGTGGAGAAGAGGTTCTGGGAAGAACCCTATAACCTGAATGAAGTTACCTTCCCTTTCACTGTCAACTCCAAGATACGTATTGCTCCGAGAAAACCACCTGCTGGGAACTAAATGTGTAAAACCTTGCATTCTGTTGGTATTCCAACAGAGAGAACTGATGTGATGCTTTCTCCTGTGTGGGCTCAATTAGAAAAGAACATCAGAGTCCAAGGGTGAGGACCAGGAAGATTCAGATGCTGAGAAGTACTTGGTGATCAGATACCTGTGGACCCACTTAGATAGTCAGCTGTGGCCCTGTCTGCACATAACAGGTTTTCCTGACTCAAAATACACTAAGAAAGACCTGAACAAAGGGCTGAGTCTTCCCTACCTTTGACTCAGAGAAAGTATAAAAACCAAACCAAACCCACTGTCGTCGAGTTGATTCTGACTCATACTGACCCCTATTAGGTTTCCAAGGCAGTAAATGTTTCCAGAAGTAGATAGCCCAGTCTTGCTTCCACAGATTGGCTGGTGGGTATGAACCATCAACCTTCTGGTTAGCAGTCCGATGCCTTAGGCACTGTGCCACCAGAGCTCCGCATAGAGAAAGTGTAGGGAGGTCAGAAATGAAATTGGATTTCTTGAGGTGCCTCTGCAGGAAACTGCCAGCGAGCCTGCCTTTACAAGCTTCCAAGAGAAAGAACAGATTATCTGTAAGAGAAAAACAATTCAACTGTTCTTGATATTTTCATCTGTAACACTAGGATCATCTAGAAGACAGTTGAATCATACATACTTCTACTTAGGTTGAAACTTAAGGATCTTGTTGTTAAGCAAGATAAACCATTTGTCAGGACTTAAAAAAAAAGAAAAGGAGAAAACAAAGTATTTGAGGATTATAAAGAATATTATCAAGAGTATCTTACTCCGCACTCCATCCAAAGAAAATATTTGAAGGAAGACTTTAATCAGACTATATAGGAACAACTGTTGTTGTTGTTAAGTGCCGTCGAGTCGTTTCCGACTCATAGCAACCCCATGCACAGCAGAACGAAACACTGCCCGATCCCGTGCCAGTCCCACAATCCCTGCTATACTTGAGCTCATCATTGCAGCCACCGTATCAGTCCAACTTGTTGAAGGCCTCCCCCTCTTTCGTCGACCCTCCACCCTACCAAGCATGACATCCTTCTCCAGGGAATGGTCCCTTCTTACAACATGACCAAAAT